ACATGAGTGAAACTCCGTCTCAAAAAAAAAAAAAAAAAAAAAAAGATAAAAAATAATAATATTTGATGGGATTTTCCCCAAAATATGAACTCTATTTTTAAAAAGTAGAGTTTGCATAAAATTTAACAATTTCTTCCAGATATAACTTTATCATTACAATGTATCATTAGCATTTTTATTATAACAGATCCTTTATTGAATATTTGTAGTTTACTGCATGATACAGTAGTCCCCCCTTACTCAGGGTTTGGCTTTTCTCAGTTTCAGTTACCCACAGTCAACCATAGTCAAAAAATATTAAATGGAAAAATTCCAGAAATAAACAATTCCTAAGTTTTTAGTTGCATTCCATTCTGAGTAGCATAACAAAATCTCACACTAACCACTCCACCCCACCTGGGATGTGATAGTCTTTCTCCAGCATGTCAACACTGTATATACTACCCGATTATCAGATCAAAATAACATAGTATATATAGGGTTTCATACTGTCTGAGGTTTTCAGGCATCCACTGAGGGTCTTGGAATGTATTCCCTTTGGGTAAGGGGGACTCCTGTACTCCATCTGATGGATATGTTATACTTAATAATGATTATATTTAGATATAGCTATACTTTTAAATATACTATATTTAGAATTTACATTACAAAAAATCTCTAAAGCTATCGATGTCCAATATTCTAGTATAGCAATATGTGGATATTGAGCACTTGAATTGGGGCTAGTCCAAATTCACATGTGCTGTAAATGTAACATATATGCCAGATACCAGATAGTGAAGACTTTAGAAGAAAAAAAATAAGGTAAAACATATTGATAACTTACACGTTTTTTATTTTATCTTGGCTTTGAGACAGGGTCTCACTCTTTCATCTAGGTTGGATTGGCATGGCACAATCAAAGCCCATTTATTGATCACAGCTCGCTGCAGTCTTGAACTCCTGGGTTCAAGCAATTCTCCCACTGCAGCCTCCCAAATAGCTGAGACCACAGGCATATGCCACCGTATCTGGCTAGTTTTTGTTTCGTTTTGTTTTTGTAGAGATGGGATGTTGTCAAGTTGCTCAGGCTTGTCTCAAACTCCTGGGATCAAGCAGTCCTCCTGCCTCAGCCTTCCAATTCCAAATTGCTGAGATTATAGGCATGAGCTACCACTGTCAGGGCCCGGCCATGACTTTTATATTATACTTTGAAATAATATTTTGGCCATATTGGGTTAAATAAAAGACATTAAAATTAAATGCATGTGTTTCTTTTCACTTTTTAAAAATGTGATTACTGAAGTATTTGTTTAAAATATTTACTAAAACATGTGCCTTGCATATTAGTCTGTACTTTTAAAATATGACTACTAGAAAATTTTAAATTACATATGTAGCTTGAATTACAATTCTTTTGGACAGTGCTATTTTAATCCTAAGAACTTGATTAACTGCCCACTTCTAGGAACTTCATCTCTGCCCCAGCTCTGCTCTAGACAGATAAGGAGCACATAGGAGATACTAAATGATTTGGTCAATGCAAACATGGATACTGATATGACTTGGCTGTGGCCCCACCCAAATCTCATCTTGAATTGTAGCACCCATAATTCCCATGTGTTGTGGGAGGGACCCAGTGGGAGACAATTGAATCATGGGGACAATGTGGTAAGTCTCACGGGAGCTGATGACTTCATAAGGGGTTTTCCCTTTCACTTGGCATTCATTCACTCTTTGCCTGCCACCATGTAAGATGCGCCTTTCACCTTCAGCTGCGATTGTGAGGCCTCCCCCGCCATGTGGAACTGTGAGTCCATTAAACCTCTTTTTCTTTATAAATTACCCAGTCTCAGCAATGTCTTTATCACTAGCGTGAAAATGGACTAACACAGATACGGATGGAGAAGACAGGGGTACTCAGGAATCTGGCTGGTTCCATTCCTCACTGGAATGGGAAATACTGGGGAGCAGCTGTTGAATGGGACTCTGTTAGAAAGTTGTAGAATAACAAATGAGAATGTTCACATAACCTGAAAAAAAATGAAAGAATTCCAAGTAGACAGAAATTCCAACTTACACGAGCCATGATTTTAGAATTGCAAGAACCGGTCAATTTTCCTCAAGGTTCATTTACTTCAGAAGCAGGTCCAGAGATGCTAGAGCTGGAGAAAGAATGTGTAAAATCATGAGAAGAAAATTGCCTCAGAGTTTCCAAATTTTAAATACCAGTACTACTTCTCTATTCCTAGATGCAACTCCCACCCCCAACACACAGACAAATTTTGATAGGTAAGAGGTGGTTTAGACAAATATGTCCTCCCCAAAACCACAGAGAAATCAGCTCAACTGCACAAGGAACTGCAGAGGAGAGACTCTGCAGCATCAAAGCACATGACTAGACACTAGAGTGGGAGGGCTTCCAGTTGGTCCCCAGCTGTGACCCGAGGGCAGGCTGGTTTGGAACAAGAATGGGTTGTGCAGACCTGTCCTGAACTGATCCTCCTCCCTCCATCCCCACCTTCCCAGGTGAAAAGGGGCTACACCATCTAAACCAGAACTTCTTTCTTGGCCTTAGGAATCTGGCTGGCCTCCCCAAATATGAAAACAGAAAATAGCATAGACAAGAATTTCCCAAACTTTGCTCAAATTGGAATCACCTGGATATCTTTAAACTGTTGCCTGGCTCCTATCCTTAAACACCCTGATTTAATTAGTGTGATGTGGGATTTAGGATTTTAACTACCCACTTCTCTCATGGATGTTTACAATGGGCAACAAAGTTTGGCAGTCAAACTTTAGTACGCATCAGAATCACGTGGAGGGCTTGTTAAAACACAGCTTGCTAGGTCTAACTCCCAGAGTTTGGTATTCAGCAGGTTTGGAATTAGGCTTGAAAATTTGCATTTCTAAAAAGTTTCCAAGTGATGCTGATGCTGCTGGTCGAGATGTCACACTTAAGAGAACTACAGCTATAAAACACCTGTAGAAAGGCTATATAACAGGCTTTATTATGGCAAAACTGTAGTGCACATTGGGATCCCTTCCCCCAGTCTTTTTTTTTTTTTTTTTTTTGAGACGGAGTTTCACTCTTGTTGCCCAGGCTGGAGTGCAATGGCGCGATCTCGGCTCACCGCAACCTCCGCCTCCTGGGTTCAGGCAATTCTCCTGCCTCAGCCTCCTGAGTAGCTGGGATTACAGGCATGCGCCACCATGCCCAGCTGATTTTTTGTATTTTTAGTAGAGACGGGGTTTCACTATGTTGACCAGGATGGTCTCGATCTCTTGACCTCGTGATCCACCCGCCTCGGCCTCCCAAAGTGCTGGGATTACAGGCGTGAGCCACCGCGCCCGGCCTCCCCCCAGTCTTAAATACCATTCTCAGAGCTCTCTGCTCCTTATTTTCCTATTCAGGATCATCAATATTGCCTGCATGATCTCAATTACCAAGCAGTATTTCTTGGTACTCAGACTTAAAGAAGGAAATTTGTGAAACCTGAGCATGAGTAATGTTCTAGAAAGTAGAAATAAACTAGGTGCAGTAGCTCATGCCTGTAGTTCCAGAACTTCGGGATGCCCAGTGGGAGGATTGCTTGATGCCAGGAATAGAAGACCATCTTGGACAACATAGTAAGATCTTGTCTCTAAAAAAATATTTCTTTTAATTAGCTGGGTGTGTTGGCACCTGCCTGTATCCCTTGGTACTTGGGAGACTGAGGCAGGAGAATTGTTTGAGCCCAGGAATTCAGTTTCAGTGAGTTATGCTTTCCACTGCACTCCAGCCTGTCTCTTAAAAAAAAAAAAAGAACAAAATAGGAAAAAGAACCTATCAACTTATCAGTTAAAATCTACTAGTAACTAAGGAGAGCATATTGAAGGAACTAGATTAGCTGATTTGAAAAAGTTATTACACCTCATAGTTGCTAAAGTGTGGGGGAAATGGATACTCAATGATATAATGTAGAAAGAATGAAATAGTATGTGGATAGAAGTGTTTAAAATAGGACTCAAAAAGCTGGGAAGAACCTAAATATCCTTAAGCAATGTTAAATAAATTATCATGCATTCACACAATGGAAAATTCAACAGCCAAGTGCAGTGGTTCACACCTGTAATCCCAGCACTTTGGGAGGCCAAGGCAGGTGATCACTTAATAAGTCAAAGAGTTTGAGACTAGCCTGGCCAACATGGAAAAACCCTATCTCTACCAAAAATACAAAAAATTAGCCAGGCATGGTGGTGCACGCCTGTGGACCCAGCTCCCTGGGAGGCTTAGGTGGGAGAATTGCCAAAGCCCAGGAGGTCGAGGCTGCAGTGGGCCCTGTTCATGCCACTGCATTCCAGCCTGGGCAACAGAGCAATACCCTGTCTTAAAGAAAAGAAAAATAAACATCCATAAAAATGAAGTTAAAATTCATATTTGATGTCATGAGAAGACAGCCACTACATATTGTTGGGGAAAGAAGATAGGTTAGAAACTCTTCTACATACAAAATACAAAATGATTGTATTTTGGCAGGAAAACTACATACACATGCATACATGTATATGCATGTGCATAAAACAATCTGTGAACTGGAATAAAACGTTATTGTTACCTATACTTGATGGTATCCCAGTCCTAGGTGATCTTTATTTGTTCCTCCCTGGAGTCTTTGTTTTTTTTTGTTTTTTGAGATAGGGCTTCAGTCTGACACCCAGGCTGAAGTGCAGTCTCGGATCTCCACTCACTGCGACCCTCATTTCCAGGGCTCAAGTGATCCTACTACCTCAGCCTTCTGAGTAGCTGGGCCTAAAGGCACATGTCACCACCCTGGCTAATTTTTGTAGTTTTTGCAGCCATGCAGTCTATGTTGCCCAGCCTGGTCTCAAACTCCTGGACTCAAGTGATCTACCTGCTTCCACCTCCCAAAGTGCTGGGATTACAAGCTTGAGCCCCTGTACCTGGCCTGAATTTTTTAATTAAAAATTTATATCACTTACACCTCAACACAAATTCAAAATAGCTATGCAAGGAATATCACAAAAAGCTCCAACAGTCCCATCCCTGCTACTCTGCCCCTATCTTGCAAATCTACAGGCAGCAATTTTTAACTCTATTAGCTGCTCCTTTTGGTATTTAAACTCCATACATTTAAAAAACATGTTAATATTTCTATTTCTAAATTTTCAGTTGTAATCATTAATTCACTTTCTACTATGGCAGCCATGGTTTTAGCTATCTTTCACCTACCCACCTCCCAACCACATATACATAGTTGTAGTGTCTTTTCAATATGGTTTTATTCTTTTTTTTTTTTTTGAGACAGAGTTTTACTCTGTCACTCAGGCTGGAGTGCAGTGGCACAATCTCAGCTCACTGCAACTTCCGCCTCCTGGGTTCAAGTGATGCTCCCGCTGTCTCAACCTCCCAAGTAGCTGGGATTACAAGCATGTACCACCATGCCCAGCTAATTTTTGTATTTTTTGTAGAGATGGGGTTTCGTCATGTTGGCCAGGGTGGTCTCGAACTCTTGGGCTCATGTGATCCACAAGCCTCAGCCTCCCAAATTGTTGGGATTATAGATGTGAACCACTGCACCCAGCCTCAATATAGTTTTATTCTATTTCAGGGTAAATCGATTTTTAAATTTAGTTTATATTACTGTGAATAAACACTGTTACCAACTGAACTATGTAGTATACTCAGGCTATTTTGCCTTCTTTGCATAAGACTTTTTCTTCTCTGAGATTAAAATAATCTTGTTTTTTCTAAGTTTAGTTTTCTAAGAGATTATCATTAATTCATTTCCCCAAATCATGTAATTGAAGGATGAAGCTCCTGTTACAAAATAGCACAGCTGGCTGGGCATGGTGTCTTATGCCTGTAATCACAGCACTTTGGGAGGCCGAGGTGGGCAGATCACGAGGTCAGGAGATCAAGACCATCCGGGCTAAAACAGTGAAATCCTGTCTCTACTAAAAATACAAAAAATTAACCAAGTGTGGTGGCACATGCCTGTAGTCCCAGCTACTCGGGAGGCTGAGGCAGGAGAATCACTTGAACCCGGGAGGCAGAGGTTGCAGTAAGCTGAGATCTCACCACTGCACTCCAGCCTGGGCAACAGAGCGAGACTCCATCTCAAAAAAAAAAAAAAAAAAACCTGAATAAAAAATAAAATAGCACAGCTGTCTATTTTATATTCTAAGAATAAAAATCAATCCTTCAGAAATAAAAATACTTCAAATACCTGCATCCCACCTGGCAAAAGTAAATGCCACATTCTTAAATGTGCCTATCTCTGAAATTCACATGACTCTGAAATGAAAAGCTGATCGTCATAGGAGCCAGAAACCCTCCTGAAGAAACTGCTTGAGCAGTTTTGAATATTCCTGCCCAATAAGTGATTTCTTAAATACTTTACAAAACATCCATAAAATGGAATACTAAGGTAATCTAAACACTAAATTTTAGAAACAGTTAAGGAAAATATTCAAGATACACTGAAAGAAAAAAACAGTTTATAAAACAATTTATGATTAGATTTTTTAGATCATTAAAGGAAAACAGACTTAAACAGATAAAAAAAAAATCTTAAAATTTCAATTCTGAAATTTTAAAATTAATTTTAAAATCAGATTTAAATCTCAACTGAAATTTCCATAATCTGAAGAACTGTAAATATGTGGGAAGTTTGTAAACCAAGAGTAGATCACTGGGATGTCACTTTTCTCCATACATGCATGGAGTTATATAATCCACAAGAGCACTGAATTCCTCTTTTAAACTAAGAACTAGAGGTCTTAGTTTATTCTAAATTTTCAATTAGTATTATCCTATTTTTCAGAAATAAAACCACCGGCCGGGTGCAGTGGCTCATACCTGTAATCCCAGCACTTTAGGAGGCCGAGGCAGGTGGACTGCCTGAGGTCAGGAGTTCAAGACCAGCCTGGCCAACATAGTAAAACTCCATTTCTACTAAAAATACAAAAAATTAGTTGGGTGTGGTGGCAGGTGCCTGTAATCCCAGCTACTTGGGAGGCTGAGGCAGGAGAATCACTTGAATCCAGGAGGCAGAGGTTGCAGTGAGCTAAGACAGCGCCACTGTACTCCAGCCTGGGCAACAAGAGTGAAACTCCATCTTAAAACAAAACAAAACAAAACAAAAAAACCCACATAGGCTTGTAGAAAACTATTTTGGAGGCCAGGCACGGTGGCTCAAGCCTGTAATCCCAGCACTTTGGGAGGCCGAGGCGGGTGGATCACGAGGTCAAGAAATCGAGACCATCCTGGTCAACATGGTGAAACCCTGTCTCTACTAAAAATACAAAACATTAGCTGGGCATGGTGGCGCGTGCCTGTAATCCCAGCTACTGAGGAGGTTGAGGCAGGAGAATTGCCTGAACCCAGGAGGCGGAGGCTGCGGTGAGCCGAGATCGCGCCATTGCACTCCAGTCTGGGTAACAAGAGTGAAACTCCGTCTCAAAAAAAAAAAAAAAAAAAAAAGAAAACTATTTTGGGAAAATATGTTCTTAAAACATCAATAATTGTTATTTCTGGACATTGGGACCATTGATCATTTTAATTTTCTTTATAGGTTCCGTAGTTACTAATATTTCACGCTTATATTAATTCTATCATCAGAAATATTTTTTTAAAAAAACCTATTTCCACTGAAAATTTTTTTTAAATGATTGGGAAGATAGGCTACTTTACAGTCATTAAGAAAATTATGGACCAGGCATGGTAGCTCACGTCTGTAATCCCAGCACTTTGGGAGGCCGAGGCAGGTGGATCAGTTGAGGTCAGGAGTTCCAAACCAGCCTGACCAACATGGTGGCCCTCTAATAAACAGAAAAAATTAGCCAGGCGTGGTGGTGGGTGCCTGTAATCCCAGCTACTTGGGAGGCTGAGACAGGGGAATTGCTTGAAACCTGGGAGGTGGAGGTTGCAGTGAGTCAAGACTTTGCCACTGCACTCCAACCTGGGCAAAAGAGGCAAAAACTCCATCTCAAAAAAAAAAAAAAAAAAAAGAAAATTGTGATTAAATGAGCCCTGCATAAATGGATAAATGGTGACAAGAGGGAAATCAGTGTGACTGAAAAAATAATTTCGGCCAGTTCCTGAGTATTGTATCTCATCAAGACCCTGAAATAGTTCGGTGAAGGATTACAATCCTAGTTCATGTCATTTCCAAAGTGATTGAGAGCCAGTAAGAACTGCAAACAAAAACAAATGCTCATTTCACAGCAGCTACTTAATAATGTGCATTTACCCCTCCTCACCCCTCAATAAATAACCAATTATTAAATACTTAGCAATTTAATATTTAAATATTACATTGTTGCAAAATAACATAAATCTTTATTGTAGTACTCAAGATTCATATGTAACAACAATTTCTTGAAGATTCTTATTTACAACAATAAATCTCAACATTACACTATACTTTTTTCTTACGACTAAATACAAACATAATTCTTATTAATGTGTAACATTCCATCACATGGATGAAGTATGATTTAACCATTTACATATTGCTAGATATTAATTTTATAAAAGAACATCCAAAAAGTAATTCCCAGTGATGTCATTTGTTTCTAGACAGTGAGAATTAATGTTGTTGGAGCTTATACAACACTGATAATATCATGAAATGATAGATTTCCTCTCTCCCCAGTAAAAATTAACCATTTACAAATACATACAATTCTGTATGTAATCTTAAAATATCTTTGTTGCCCTGAAAGCGCATAAACAGTCTGAGGATTTAAGAATCTCTGTTCTGGCCGGGCGCGGTGGCTCAAGCCTGTAACCCCAGCACTTTGGGAGGCCGAGGCGGGTGGATCACGAGGTCAAGAGATCGAGACCATCCTGGTCAACATGGTGAAACCCCGTCTCTACTAAAAATACAAAAACATTAGCTGGGCATGGTGGCGCGTGCCTGTAATCCCAGCTACGGAGGAGGTTGAGGCAGGAGAATTGCCTGAACCCAGGAGGCGGAGGTTGCGGTGAGCCGAGGTCGCGCCATTGCACTCTAGCCTGGGTAACAAGAGTGAAACTCCGTCTCAAAAAAAAAAAAAAAAAAAAAAAAAGAATCTCTGTTCTGGGGTCCACTGGAGGGTCTGGCTCATTTTCCTGCTTGCAAACACCCATCATAATTACCTTCACATCTGCATTGCTCTTGGGAATACAGAAAGCTGATAGGGATTGACTACGCATCATCATTTTAATACCGGTAGCTAGTATGAATTAAGGACTCACTATGTGCCAGGCACTCTCCTAAGATCCACACAAATATTGATTCATATGATCCTCAAAACAACACCGTGAAGTATACGCTATTACAATTCTGAGGAAACTGCAGCACAGGCTGCTTAAACTCGTTCAGATTTAAGTGGCAGTCAGAATTCAAATCCTCCTCTTAATCTAGGTTCGAAATTCTTAACCACTACATTACACTACACCTCTCTCAGTCGATTCAAAGATATACCCAAAATAAACTCACGTTGCCAAACCTCAAACCACATCTGGCTGGTACCAAAAACTTTTATTTATGAATTTCCTGGAAAAAAAAATTCCACTCCTACCCAGGAATCATTAAATATATCTAAACCCTAAAAAAAACCTCCTTAACGAATAAATTAAAAACAAAGCATGAACATTAATCTCCAGCAAGCGTATTTCCATATCATCAAAATCCTTAGAAAAACAGCACTGACAGAGTAATCGAATATACAGCCTACAGTTAACTAACCATGTGTCTAACTATAGAACAGCATGAAGTAGGCATTAAAAAAGGGAAATCTATTAATTAGGTCCTCTGCCGTTAACTAGGTAGGGAAATCCTAAGGCCTAAATCAATGAACAAACAGATCATTTTTAAGCAGAATTTTAAACGGAAGGAAATTGAACGCATTTCACAGAACAAAGCAGCAGCACAAACTCACATGGAACCGGCTTTTTAGAAGAGCAGCTGCGATTCGTTTCTCCTTCTCAAGCGCCTTCTCTGGAAACTGGCAGGGCTGGGGAAGCAGACCAAGTTCAGGACACCCCAGGCTTTTCTTGACTCGATCAGAACCCACCCTCCATGCTTCCCTGGCCCCAGCTAACCGCCACCTGCACGCACAAATGGAAACGACAGGGCAGCGGCTCCGCAGTCACCAGCGTCTGGGTTCGCAGCTCCGGGTACGCTGTAGTTCGGCACCCAGTTGCTCGAGCACCCGGACCACCCACAATGTCTTTTCGGAACTGTCGGCGTGTCCTCTCAGCCCCCAGACACCCGCCCCGAATCTAGGTCGCAGCGTTTTGCAGGGGACCTTCATCCTGGAGCCTAAGTGGCTGCAGCGCGGATGGGGATGCGCGGGGCCTCGGTCTCCAGTTACACCATAGGCCGCACCCACGAACCGGGCCCGGCACAGTTACTGCCTCCAGCGCCTCCAGGCCTCAGGGCTGCATAAGCTCAGTCCCGCGAAAAAACGCACAGCGGCCTGAGGCTCCACAGGTACCTTTTCTCCATCTCCGGTCCGGCCTGCAAAGCCTGACCCAACCCGCGCTCTTTTTCCTCAGAAAAGCAGCGGCCACAGCCGCGCTCGGCGCCCGGCGCCCACCTCTTCAGCCTCACCCGACTCGGAGGATCGCCCAGCACCAGAGTCAGCGGCGCCAGGATACGAGAAAGCGCCCGTCCCCGTCGCGAATGCGCAGGCGCGCGGAGAGCGGAAGCAAGTCCCGCGGCTGCTCCGAGGCCGGGAGGGGCGCTTGGGGCCGGGTCTCGGCGGGGACAGTATGGCAGGGGAGACGTACCCAGAAGGGCGACAGTGTCCGGTGCCTCAGGCCTCTATACCTCTAAGGCGGCTCCGTGACTAACCAGTGCCATTAAAGATAATCCGGGTCTGCTTCCCTGTGGGCACTGCGGTCCAAAATTTAAAAAACCGATATTCCGGCTTTTTTCTGCTGGTTCTCTGGACTGCAAGCCCCGCCGCGCCCCCCAGCGTAGCCTTACCCGAGCCTTTGAAAGTCGGCTTCTGTCCGGAGTGCGCACGCGCGCGTGCGTGTCGACCAAGGCGAACCCTGGGACCCTTTACGGAGCAAGGGAGACGTGTAGGGTCGCACCTGCCGAGGGGGTGGGGAGGTTTGGAGGTGGGTGGAGGTTGGCAACAGGATCCCGAAGGAGATGGGAGTGTCCAAATCTAGGCCTGTAGGCGTGATCCTGGCGGTGAGCTGGATGGAGGGAACCCCAGTGTCGCGAGCCCGGACCAAACCGCAGCGCGTGCTCCCTGTGGCGTCTCCCCGTACCTGGACCGAATGCGTTGCCGCAGGCGGAGTTGTGTTCCCGCGCAGAAGGCTGCTACGTGCGCGTGTGCCGCTCTCTAGCGGGGGATTGGGATGGTCCTGCAGAGAAAGCTGGCAGTGGTGCCCGACTCTGACGCTGAGTGTAGGGGGTCTCTGGGGTCTGTGCGGTTTATGTCTGCGTTTGTGACGTACCTGGGATCGAATCCGTGACTGTGGCTCTGCTCCTGTCCATTGTTATTTCCGGAATGGTTTTGATAGGGCAACGCTTCTGGTTCTGGTTTTCCGTGGAGAGGATTTGTGGGTCCCTATGAAACTGAGTGTTGGGATTTTGATTACCTGCACCTGGCCCTCGTGTGTCCTCAGGCCTGTGGCGTTAGGCAAGTAAAATAATTGTAAAAAGAAAGAAAGAAAAAATTGGAAAGGAGGTAAGATTGCTATTACTTCCAAATGATGAGATTGTAGGATTGCTGAGGCAGGAGAATCACTTGAACCTGGGAAGCAGAGGTTGCAGTGAGCCGAGATCAAGTCGCTGCACTTTACCCTGGGCTACAGAGCAAGACTCCACCCAAAAACAAAAAACTAAACAAAAAAACAGGGTCTCCCTGTGCTGCCCAGGCTGATCTTGAACTCCTGGGTTCAGGCGATCCTCCCACCTATGCCTCCTAATGTGCTGAGATTACAGGCGTGAGCGTCTGGCATTTTGTTTTATTTTTGTTGCATGTTTTCTTTTTCTCTCCTTTATGTTGAATTGATGTATTACTATTCCAATTTAGTTTATAGGTTCTTTTAGTCATTACTCCAGGAATTATAAGTCCAAATTCATCAATACTCTGACTCTCCTCGCACAGAATGCATTCAATTTCATATGCCCTCTTAGATTTAAAATACAAGATATCAGTTACATATTTGTTTTATTAAAAAACCTCTCTGGGGCTGGAGACGGTAGCTGATGCCTGTAATCCCAGCACTTTGGGAGGCCGAGGCAGGCGGATCACGAGGTCAGATCAAGACCATCCTGGCCAACATGGTGAAACTATGTCTCTACTAAAAATACAAAAATTAGCTGGGTGTGGTGGTGTGTGCCTGTAATTCCAGCTACTCAGGAGGCTAAGGCAGGAGAATCGCTTGAAACAGGGAGTCAGAGGTTACAGTGAGCCCAGATTGTACCACTGCACTCCAGCCTGGTGACAGAGGGAGACTGTCTCAAAAAAAAGGCCTCTCTGAAATTATACTATTATACATTTACTCAGAACATTGACATAAGTGGTGTTAAAAAAAAAAAAAAGAATAGGTTTATCAAGAGAAATAAAGTGGGACTGGGCTTTATTTCTCAGAACATTGACATAAGTAGTGTTTAAAAAAAAAACAAAACAGAATATTTAGGTCTTGTCAAGAAAAATAAAGTGGGGCTGGGCGCAGTGGCTCATGCCTATAATCCAGTGCTTTGGGAGCCTGGGGTGCCTGGATTGCTTGAGGCCAGAAGTTTAAGACCAGCCTGGGCAACATAGCAAGACTCCATGCCTATGACATTTTTTTTTTTTTTAATTATCTGGGCCTGGTGGTCTACACCTGTAATCCCAGCTGCTCGGGAGCCTGAGGTCAGAGGATCACTTGAGCCCAAGAGTTACGATGGCACAACTTCACTGTGGCCGGAGCCACAGAGCTAGACCCTGTCTTAACAAAGAAAAGGGCCAGACGCGATGGCTCATGCCTGTAATCCCACCACTTTGGGAGGCTGAAGCAGGCAGATCACCTGAGGTCAGGAGTTTAAGACCTGTCTGGCCAACATGGTGAAACCCCGTGCTACTAAAAATACAAAAATTAACCAGATGTGGTGGTGCACACCTGTAATCACAGCTCCCTCAGGAGGCTGAGGCAGAAGAATCACTTGAACCAGGGAAATGGAGGTTGCAGTGAGCCAAGATTGCATCACTGCATGCCAGCCTAGGTGACAAGAATGAGACTCCGTCTCAAAAAAAGGAAGGAAAGGGAAAGGGAAAAGAAAAGAGGCTTGGCATGGTGGCTCATGCCTGTAATCCCAGCACTTTGGGAGGCCAAGGTGGGTGGATCACCTGAGGTCAAGAGTTCAGGACCAGCCTGGCCAACAGAGTGAAACCCCATCTCTGCTAAAAATACAGAAATTAGCCGGACATGGTGTACACCTGTAATTCCTATAACTATATTAAATCCTAAGTTTATCCAGAATGAATTCAAATTTTTAAAGCATAAAACTTTTCTGAATTCATTAAACCTGAATGGTTAATAGTTTCATCTGGTCAAAACACACTAAAAATCACACAAGTAAATGGTATTATTTATAGACGCTAATGTTTATTGAACATTATATCCCATATAGTTTCCCATAATTTTTCATGTACTAACTCGCGTAATTCTTGTTGTTTTTTAGAGATCTGAAGTGATTTTACCTTTATTTCCTTCACTTTAAGCCAATCATGAAATTTCACAGTGATTTCTGAGGTGGGTGCAGAAGGAAGGTGGTGTTACGAATTGTCAGGGCTGTAGCCCAGTTGCCTTAGGGTGATCCCTCACCAGGGCAGCGGGAGGAGCATGGACTACCCTGCCAGCAGGTAGGTGATGTTCTGAGCGTTGAGGGCTGGTATGCTGTGTCCTCCGTAGCTTTCAGCTTGCGAAGCTCACTCAGACCATCCCCCTCAAGCCAGTCAGTTGGTGATCAGCTTGGCTACCTTGGAGTCACCCTCAGCCGAGATAATGGCCACCTTTTTCTGCCACTTAGCCTTTTCCACCACAAATCTGGCCCTCTCTGCTTCCTGCTGAGCCATCTGTTTGGCTTCCACTGCTTCTGTGAACTCCTTCCCAAAGGTCAGATGTGTCAAGGACACGTCCACCAGAATGAGCCCAAAGGTGGCTGCTCCCTCCATAAGGCATTGATCATGTGCCTGGAGACCAGTTCTCTGTGTGATTAGCTCTCCAGCATCAAAGCGAGCTACCACTGACTTGAAGATCTCAGTGGTAATGGACAGCAGCACCAGTTCATCATAGTCCTCTCCGATGCTGGCAAAGATGCAAGGACAGGCTGGAGGAGGATGCTCAGTGTGATGTTGACATTCTGTAAATCGTTGCTACCAGTGATGACTGGCACATTACGTGGCTGGGAATGGCAAAGATAATTGGTTTCTGTACCCATGGGATGAGAAAGTGAGTCCCTTCCCCTACCACAATGACTGAACTCCAGGGAATCGGTTGAAGATGACAGCTCTGTGCCCAGCATCCACGTGATATAAGGCAGAGTTGACCACGCCTCCTGCAACAGCTAAGGCCAGGACAGACTTGCTGATGGACTCACACACTTTGGCAGCCATGTTACCTTCTGCGGGACCCTCTCACACCTGCTTCCACTCTGACCTCCAAATCTAACTTGTGTAATTCTAAAGCACTATACTGTAGGTACTACTATCACCATTCATATATGATCCCCAAAAGGGATAAATATCTTCCCCCATATCATTCCAGCTATAAGAAGCAGGTGTCAATAATGAACATTAAATATGCAGAATGGCTAAACACCCTATCCCATCATTGCTTATATCGACAGAGGTTTCCTGTGTGATGGCTTTCCTCAGATTTAACAATAAATGTTTGTTGCTGGAAAATGTTTACATACAAGTATAAAGAACAGTGGTTTCCTATGTTCTCTCAACTTTCCTCTACTATGAATATTTTGGCAATCCTCAACTAGAGGACTTCAGAAAAAGTTTTCTTATGTTATTAAAAAAAAATACTTTATACATTCTCTGAATCTGAGTTAACACAGGTGAGGCCAAAGAAACTGCATACATTATTTACATTTTGAAAAGTTCACACCAGGACAAATTGATGCCTAATAAAAACTGAACTGTATTTAAGTCATCCCGCATTGTCTTCATTCAGATTGTTCTTCAGTGAGATAAATCCATTGACACAAAGTGCTTTCTTTACTACTTGTATATATGCCAAATTTTCTCTATCAAATATGAATTCTCTGATGTACTTCAAGGATGGATCTAAGCCTAAATGACCTTCTGCATTTGTTACATTTAAAGGGCTTCTCACCAGTATGAACTCTATGATGTATACTAAGTTCATGGCTACTATTAAAAGCTTTCCCACACTCTTCACACATGTAGGGATTTCCATCAGCATGAACCCTTTCATGTCTGACAAGATAAGAGGAACAGCGAAATGCCTTCCCACATCTTTTACATTCATAAGGTGTATCACCGGTATGAATTCTCTCATGAATAATAAGATGTGAGGCATGACTAAAAGTCTCCCCACATTCTTTACAGTCATAGGACTTTTCACCAGCATGAGTTCGGTCATGATATATGAGGCTTGTGGCATGACGAAAGGCCTTGCCACATTCCTTACATTCGTAGGGTTTCTCAGCACTATGAACATTCTGATGGGCTTTAAGTACTGAAATGAACCTAAAAGACTTCCCACATTGGTTACATTCAAAGGGTTTCTTACCACTGTGAACACTCAGATGCTGAGTAAGTTGTCCAGATACACTAAAGGCCTTCCCACATTCCTTACATTCGTAAGGTTTCTCACCAGTATGAACTCTGCGATGCATAGTAAGTTTATGACTATAACTAAAACCCTTCCCACACTCTTGACATACATAGGGTTTCTCTCCCGTATGAATTCTCTCATGTATAACAAGATATGAGGCACAACGAA